GGAGTGGCAGAGCCGGGTTCACCCGGGGAGGGAAAGCCACTTTGGACACGTGCCCCCACTGCAACACCTCCGAACGCAGCGGTGGGGGCACAAACAGCTTCCCTGCGGGACATTCAGCCGGGACTTGGACCTCACCTTGAGCCTCCTGAATCTTCCGCTCGATCTCCCACCTTACCGCCCCCAGGATGCAATGGTCCGGAAGAATGGACCCTGGTGTCCGGTCCCTGTCCGCGGGATCATGGAGACGGGAGAGGGCGTCAGGCTTGGTGTTCTTGGAGCCGGGGCAATACGTGAGGGTGAAATTAAACCGGGTTAACAGAAGCGCCCACCGGGCCTGTCGTGAATTGAGTCTCTTCGCTGAACGAATGTACTCCAAGTTTTTATGATCTGTGTAAACGGTAAATGGGTCCTTGGTCCCCTCGAGCCAGTGACGCCATTCTTGTAGGGCTGCAACGACAGCCAGCAGTTCTCGGTTCCCCACGTCGTAGTTCGACTCGGCGGCACTGAGTCGACGAGAGAAAAAGGCGCAGGGGTGCAATTTCTGGTCAACCGGAGAACGCTGGGACAAAACTGCGCCCACTCCTGAATCCGAGGCGTCCACCTCTACGATAAATGGACAATCAGGGTTAGGATGGTGCAGTACCGGTGGGTTTGTGAAAGCTGTTTTCAATGCCGTAAACGCCGAGTCGGCGTCTGAGTCCCATTTAAACGGGACCTTGATGGAAGTCAACCGGGTTAACGGCAGGGCCTTCTGACTATAATTGCGAATAAAACGTCTGTAAAAATTAGCAAAACCGAAAAAACGCTGCAGCTCTTTCCGAGTGGTGGGTGTCGGCCATTCCACCACCGCCTTAATCTTGACGGGGTCGGCTCTCAACTGACCCCTCTCTATGACAAAGCCCAAGAACGATATAGTTTTGGCATGAAATTCACACTTCTCGGCCTTGACAAAAAGTCTATTCTCCAACAGCCGTTGTAATATACGTGTTCCTGTTCAGACCGTGAAAAGATTAAGATGTCGTCGAGATAAACGAAACAAAACACATTTAATAGGTCCCTCAGCACGTCATTAATGAGGTTTTGAAACACCGCGGGTGCATTTGTTAACCCGAAAGGCATCACCAAATATTCGAAATGTCCTAATGGCGTCTTAAAGGCCGTCTTCCACTCATCCCCTTCCCGAATACGAACCAGATGATACGCGCTGCGTAAATCCAATTTGGAAAAAATGGTGGCCGATTGAAGGGGAGCAAATGCTGAATCTAACAGTGGAAGTGGATACTTGTTTTTAATGGTTATTTCATTGAGCCCCCGATAGTCCACACACGGCCGCAACGACTTGTCCTTCTTTTCGATAAAAAAAAACCCAGCACCCAACGGTGATCGTGATGGTCGGATAAGACCTGCAGCGAGCGAGCTGTTGATGTAGTCCCTCAGTGCCTCTTGTTCAGGATGAGAAACCTGATATAGCCGGGAGCTCGGCAGCGGGGCACTCGCTTGCAGGTCTATGGTACAGTCGTAAGGACGATGCGGTGGCAAGGAGTGGGCGCGGTCTTTACTAAAAACCTGTTGCAAATCATGGTAGCAACTCGGTACTCCATCTAGATTAATGGTTTCAAGGGGCTCTTTACGAGACCGCACGTGCCCCCCAACGGCGGACTGCAAACAATGCTCGTAACAAAACAGGCTCCATATCTCTGTCGCAGGGCGATCCCACGAAATTATTGGGTTGTGAGTTTTAAGCCACGGTAAGCCGAGAATCACTGAGACAGCTCGCGACTGCATTAAATAGAATCTCCTATGTTCGACATGATTGCCCGAGAGTTTGAGCTTAACAGGTCCCGTAACCTTTTTCACCACCGCCAAAAGACGCCCGTCGAGATCATGAACCCGTTTCTCTTGGTTCAAGTCCTCTATGTCGCAACCTAATTCTGTTGCTATGCTGGTGTCGATGAAGCAGTCATCGGCCCCCGAATCCACCAAAGCCCGAATCGGCAGAACTTGAGACGGCCCGTAGATCTCTCCCTCAAGTTCCAGTCTCTTTGAGAGGCCCGAACGAGACTCGACTCTCCTTGGCTCCCGATGTTCGATGCGGGGTGGTAACTCACAGTCATCGAGAGGCGTAGGTGGTTTGGAT